CTCTGGATAAGAGGCTCGTGCTTCCTACAGCTCTTGCTGACAGAGGGTCCAGCATGTTACTACTCAGGAAGCCCCAGCTAACTTCAGTTGCTGCTTCTTAAAGCTCTGGCTCTGTCTTGCAGCTCCAGCTCCTGCACAGTTGTGAGGAGGGATGCTGCTGCTGCTCAGTTCAGGTGATTTCAATTCCAGTCACTGAACACTCCAGCTTCTTATAGCTTTGGCTGGTTTTCAGTTGAAGGTGATTTCAGGTCCAGCTTGTTGAAACTCCTGCTTTTGTGTAGCAGTTCTGGCTTCCTACAGCTCCAACTGATAGACATAGGCTTATTTCGATTACTAGTTCATTCCAGCTCCGCTTTGTTGAAGCTCTACCTCCAGTACTGGATGCTCAGAAAAAGAGCTTCTCCTGCTTCTTACAGTATCTGCTGATGGACATTTTCCAGCATGTTACTGCTCAGGTTATTTGAAGTCATAGGTTAGTTCAGCTCCTGCTTCAGCTCTACACAGCACCTCTGGTCACTGGCCGGAATTTTTTGGGAGGGCACATGTACTTCTATTGGGAAACCAAAGGCTCTTGAATCCCCATACCCACTGCCTTCCCAAAAAGGCAGCCATGGGCCTCCTGGGAATCAGGAGAAACCAGGGTCCAGGGTTCTAGTGACTCATGCAGGCACTGATTCATTTAACGGAATATAAAAGCCAGGCCAGCACACCATCGACCCCGTGGATCTCATCACAAGATTTTGTCAGCACTGGCTGCAAGTATGTGCTCAGTATCCAGGGGCAGGTGAGAGCAACATCATCTTCTGTCAATTCCCTTGGATGCAGAACATAAAAGCTCTTTTTGGATGGCCTGTCACACAGTTATCAGCTCCTGCCCAAAAGCTTGTTTGGGTTTGGATTTATTCTAGGCCAGTTCCTGCAGAAAATACTGTTGTGTGCTTGCTGGCCAGCCAGGACTCGAGGCAGAGGGAGATGTGTGAATGGATGGCCACGTGTTCCCAGCTGGCAGCAAACACAAAGCCCAACCAGTGTGCAAGTGGCTGAGCAGACAGTGCAGGAGCCATGCAGGCATGCATGACAGGCACGGGATCAGCTCAGGCATGAGCACGGATAGCTTTACGCATGAACAACCCATGACACCATGAACAGCATCCCATCCTTTCACACGGGAATGTCCTAAAGCTTCACACATTAGTGCCCCAACAGCTTATGCGCGAGTGCCCAATTTATTCAGACCTTAGCATCCAACCACTCCATGCACAAGCACTCAATCTATTGACAAACAAGCCTTTAGACAGCTCACATGAGCACCCAATTAATTCATGCCCCAGTGCTCAATCAGCTCACACAGGAGCAGCTATTTCTCATGCACCCACAGCACATGCATCAGTGCTGTGCTGGGCAGAAATTGCAGGGTTCCAGTCAGTGATGCCATACTCCCACCCTCTGGCACTTCTTACTGCAGGTGCTTCTCCACTAAAAATTGGCTCTTTCAGGAGCATCAGAGCTACATTCAAGGTCCCCGTGTTCGCCCAGAGGTGCACAAAGAACCCTCCTCTTTTCCTGGAGCACTGAAGGGCTGAGGAGCGGGGGCCAGCAGGGGCCAACACACCTGCCCAGCCCCGGGAAGAGGTAGAAGTGTCTTTGCTGGCCCTGTGCCCAGCACCTGACTTTGCCTATCAGAGTTCAGCACTGCCCCCATCTTTGCCCTTGCTTTCTTCAAGGGTTGTACCAGAGTCACACAATTTCTCACTCTGAGGTAAAAGAATGTTAGTTTTTCCTTACTAAAAAGGTTAGAGTGAGCTACAGAGGGAAGTCACCTTTTGAAGATTATTTGATTGCAAATCTCTATTCACAAGCCTATACTGCTTTGTAAGAAAATGACATTTTCTCAAAATGCTTTGCTACTCAGTCACAAACCCACAGCTTGAAGAGAGAACTGATTGTAATTCTTAGCACGGCAGGAATTTCAATGGTCATCCAAGAGAAAACCATCTGCAGAATAAAATCCTGAAAATAACAGTGTACAGGTCTTTTGCAGCAAACACATTCGTGTGAGCACATTATCACCTGGCTGCTCTAGTGCTGGGATAATGGGATGACCATGGAATTAGAAGGCAGGGAAGCCAAGCTGCTGGGATCACAGGCTGAGACCATCAGCCTGACCAGAACATGCTGTCTGTATGTAACACTGAAATTCCTCCAGCAAGGATAAAATACAAGTTCTATCTCTATGTACAAAGGTTGCAACAACTATCTTACCTTACAGAAGACATGCAGGGAACCTTGCCAACTCTAACTTCAAGCACAAAGTTTACAAGTACTTACGTGATACGGCACTTGAAGTGAAAACTAGCCCTGGGCTTCCAGAGGTGCAGCACAGAACAGTGACAGTCCCAGCTCAGCTACCCTTTTGCACTGCTCCTAAGCCAGGCAGCGTGATGAGAGACCATTTGCCAAAGGGTACTCCCGGCTGAGAAACTGCAAATTCCAATTTACA